GTAGTTAGTAGTATTAGTTATTCAATTAGTTATTAGTGATAAGCATAAGTGAATATCAAAAAGAGTAGTTAAGTTTGTGTACTATATTTAATTTTAATTTTACAAAGTGTTGTAGTTATTATTTTTGTATACTGTAAAATTTGTGCCTTATACACGGCCTTGCAGAAAAACAACTGCTAGTTGAGCCAAGTTTCCGTGTTGAAATAAAGCTTATTATTATTATTATTTATTACAAAAACATTATACCATTACTATTTCATTTTTCTGACATTGTGCATGTAATTACATCTTTATTACAATGTGTAATAAGAATCGCGTGATAGCTAGTACCTTCACCCCCATGGACAGAGACCAGAATTGTAAAGAACGATAATCTCATTCATAACAAAGTGAATTCTCTCATGAACAGTTGCTGAAATTTTTGACTGCCAGACAGCGGACGCCAATTTAGCAATCAATATTTATCTGCCACAAGTGAGACATCTCTAGTAAGTGTGCGTTTCAGGTAATTCAATAATATTCACATTTGTACAACATTAAATTTATATACTGTGTAATTATCATGGTATTGCTAACAATAAGATTTATGGTGTTTGAAGGAATATGTCACCACAATCGTTTATTGAGTCTCTTATGTTATTGTCTTATAATTTTTTATGCTGTTCATATATTTTATAATTTCTCATTTTTCCGCACCATGTATCCCTATGTAAAAGGTGCTTTATAAGGTTATATTAAGTTATTATAAACAAGATGCCCAATTATATAAAAAATATTGAAAAGATATCAGACCTATTAATAAGACCTTAATCTTACTGGATTTCTTCTTAAAACTTAGACATTTGTTATGATCTTTTATAGTGCAATTAAATGGTCTAGGTAGGCCTACAGTACATCAATGCAGGAAAGTACATGAAAAGGTCTCATGTTGAAGAACTTGGTTTCGCAACCTCCAGGTCATTGGGTAGCTGCTGCAAAGTTATGGAATACTCCCCCAGGGAGCTTGAGTTTGTGTTATAGGCATTTAATCCAATGACCGGAATAATGATAATTTGAAGCACGTAGAGGGCTTAACAATATGTGCTATATTAATGTCTACCATTAATATTATTATTATTATTGGGATTAAATTGAATTGTGATGAATTTGTCATTTGTGATCTAAAGAAATTAGGTGGTACAGTACAGTATAATCAGTGGCTTAATGTTTTTTTCCCAGCTTAAATTGAGTAGAAAATTCATGATATCACTTCATTGAGAGTTAAAAGTTAATACTGTAAATTAATCTGTCATTACAGTATCAGTAACTACTTTAATTACAGTTTTTTGACACTGTACAACGGTTGGATTTAATTAACCATTTCTTCCATCAACAGACAACTACAATTCAATTGTTGCGGTAACATTTGAATACAATATGTTATAATACCTATGATGTTTATTTTTTTATCGTGCTTGATTTTGTAGGTTGTTTCTATTTTTCTATTACTGTCCAAGCATCACATTATTGACAGAGTATAATAATAAACCCGGGCTTACAATCCTAGGCTTACAGGTTTTGTTTCTTTATGCTTATGTTTAAATATCATTATCTATTAACAACTGAGTTCAATATGTACCCTTCTGAACCACTCGGCAATATTGTGTTAAATACAATGAGGTGTGATACTACTCACACACTCTTTTATAATTTTTATTGTTCCAAAACAAATATTTGACTCTAACTTTTCTGTAAATTCCAATTCCACTTGACTATAAACAAGTGTCAATACAGTATTTAATTATTTTACAATACCAAATATTATTTTACTTATTATTATTACAGTATTATTATTATTGTATTTTTATATAGCGCATATCTAAAACTATGCGCTTAACAATTCCAGATTAATCATTAATTGTTAATTAATAAAAAGTTAATAATTCAAAGAATTGAGAAATTACCATGTGTGATGGTAAACAACGCAATGTCTCAAAGGGTCAACCATCCGTCACTGCCCCAGCGCAATCCCAGACCTCTACCTAGGTGGCGCAAACAAAGGAGCAGGTTACACATTTGCCCTGCCACAGACGAATGGGTACTCAGGGACAGTGCTCAAGATAGTGGCCCCCTAGAGACAGAGCAGTCACATTTGTAATCAAAAGAGAGAGAGAGTAAGAGAAAAAATAAAATAAACGACTGAAGAAACATAATATTCATTATTATATATTTTTTGTCTAATTGCCAACACTTGTATAACAATAATAATTTGTTAATATAATATTTGGTATGTTTTTAGTGATAAATAAAACTTAGTTGAGTGTGTAAGTTCTGTATATTTCATTAAATGTAAATTAAACAATGATTATTTTGCTTTAATGTACTTAATTTGCCTATCCAGACATTGTACATTTTAACAATAGCCAAGCCAAGGCCGGATTACTCATTTTGCAGTGAAACTGGTAGATTTAAT